GACTCCGAACCGCACCCCGCCTCTAGTGTGTCTGTCTGTCTGACAGCCTGCCTGACTGCCTATCTATTGGAGGATGGCAGAGGCTAGTCTATGTGTGTGTCTGTCTGTTTATCTAACGGAGGAAGAGGCGACTATAATGTCTCTCTCTTTGCCTATCTGTCTGTCTATCTTTCTATGTATCTATCTACCTATCTATCTGTCTATCTATCAATCTATCTCTCTATCTATGTAGTGGAGGCCTAGAGTCTGGCTAGTGTGTCTTTTTATCTATCTGTCTGTCCGTTGGATGACGATACGTTAGAGTGCCTATCTACCTACCTACCTAATTGAGGAGGAGGAGAAGGCATGTGTGTGTGTGCGTGCGTGCGGGTCTGTCTATGTATCTGTAACTAAATATGGAGGAGGCTAATGTGTGTGTGTCTATCTCTCAATGTATGCACTCTAATGGAGGAGGAGTAGGCTAATATGTCTGTCTCTCTATCTATCTATCAGATATCTATGTATCTGATGTATCTATGTACCTATATCTAATCGAGTGTAGGAGGAGGCTAGAGTGTCTATCTCTCTGTCAGAGGAGGAGGAGACTAGTGTGTCTGTCTGTATGTGTGTCTGTGAATCTGTCTCTATCTATATCTAATGGGGAAGAAGGAGGAGGCCCGTGTGTCTGGCTATGTGTGTCTCTCTCTCTAAAAGGAGAAGGTAGAGGCTAGTGTGTTTATCCGTCTATCTCACTATCTATCTAATGGAGGAGGAGAAAGAGTCTATTAAGTTTGTCTATCTATTATCTAATGGAGGAGGAGTTTAGTGTGTCTCTCTACCTACCTAACTGAGCAGTAGGGGAGACGTGTGTGTGTGTCTGTCTGTCTTTGTATGTATCTGTCTACCTATCTAATTGAGTTGGAGGAGGAGGTTAGGATATATGTCTGTTTCTAAATGGAGGAAAAGGCTAGTGTGTATGTCTCTGTATTTATTTGTCTGTCTCCCTGTCTGTCGAATACAGGAAGCCTCCCAGGAGTCGACCCACCTGGAGTGATGCCAATAGCCACCCTGAGGCAGCAGAGGGCGCCCCCAGAGCAGGCTGAAGGGCACACTGGGAGGAAATCCACAGGCTTGCCTGGGCTGCCCCCGCCTCCCGCTGCCCCCCTCTCTGCAGCCGCCCCACCCTCTCTTCCTGACCATACTGCACCTGCCTGCAGGGAGTTGAGTGACCTGGAGAAGTGCCTCCGGTGAACTTGGGCCGGCATTAGGAGCATTAGGAGCCAGAGTTTTCTACTTCATTTTTTCAGGTGGTTGGACTCAAGAACTGAAGTTCTTACACCACTGTCTGTCTAGGACAATTGTACTCCAGTTTGGGGCTATAATATCAAAGTAAAACAATTTGATAGGTGATCACTGTAAAAATAAAACAAATCACTACCCCCCCCCA